CCCCCCCCCCCCCAGTGGTTCCAGCTGTCGAGCGGAGGGGAAGGGGTATATAGCACACATGGAACAGAAAAAAATCACGAAAAGTCAACAACCTCTTCCAGAAGGCTGGAAAGCAAATGCGACCCTCCCTCCCTCCCCCCTCCCAACAATGAGCAAGTACGACCCCCCTCCCCCTTTTTACAACGTCCGTGAAGCGAGAAAAATCAACTATCAAAATAAATTTTTCTCAGCCCAAATACGACCCCCTCCCTGGCGACCAAATACGCCCCCCCACTGTTAGGGAAACCCCAACAACAGTGCGCTCTGCACTCGGCACTACTGTACTATTCCTACATTGCTTTTTGTCCCCATAAGTATTTAGGTTTTTTTTAGGATTTTTGACATAGGATTCGCTTGGCAGATTTGACCAGGGTCGACCAATATCTATTGCTGCTTTTCAATCCTATTCGTACTCTTCTTCTTCGGTGAGCTGTCTTGGGCTCCAAGTAAAAACTCACCCCGCGTTGCGGCGCGAATTTTTGACGTCATCGCGGCGGCAGGGCGAAGCGAAAGGCGATCCTGCGCCCCCGACGGGCTTCAACTAGCAGCCTTTGTGGAAATAAAAAGGGAAAAAGGTGAGAGAAAGATGATTGGACAGGTAGTGGATGCCTACAGGTGAGTTAGTAGTAGTGGTGAGCAGAGAACAGAGAAAAGTCAACTATCAGGGACAATTACTTCAGTAGATGACAAAACTGGCAAGATAGCTCCATTCAGTTGTGAACAGATGCAAACAGCTCTTACGCAAACGTTTAACGTGGGTTTTGGAAAATTGCCAAGTGTTGGATGTGACCTTTTAACTTTACAACGTTTGTGTAGGAGCTGCTTGTGCATTTTCACAATCGAATAGAACAATTTCGTCAGTTTCGGCCCTGATAGTCGAGTTTGTTCAAGCCCCTTTTCTGTCGTTCTCTTTCCAAATATAAGCCGCTGCTGATCGGATCACAATAGCGGAGGCGCAGGCTATTGCCCTTCCTCCGACCGCCGCTGCGGTGACATTAAAACCGCGCCGCATACGAGCCCGGGTGAGTTTTTCCCTCCTCCGGCTCTCTTGCGCTACTTTCCAATGTGTTTGATAATAAGTGGTACCTGGGATATGTTTGATATATAGTACCAGTCGGATCGCCCGGCTGACGCCGAGCTCTCCTCCTTCTTTTAGCTCGGCTTCGCCGAGCTGGCCTGGCTTCGCCAGGCGCGCTCCATAATGG